TTGAGCCTGCAATCATTTGAAAATTAGTAACTTGTCAGCTGATAACTTCAAAGAAAAACTCGAACTCAGTGGCCCGACAACCCTACTTTAAGTACCTACCTTTTAACAGCTGTCAATTGAACTTCATTAGAATGGCGACTTTTCGAATAAACGGACTGTTGACTGCGAGTGTGAGTAAGACATTTCAGTCTGGGTTGTAATGGAAGATTAAAGGAAAAGTATCCCGTTACTGAGCATGCACCAAACTTTGATTTTTGGACAGGATGTCGCGAAATCAAAAGATGCGAGGCGAGTAAGAGAACCCTGAAAAATCCGTTTGCATCGCGCTTGGCCGAGTTCAATGCTACACTAAAACCTCTCAGGATTAGAGATCAATGATACATTGTTCCCGGTTAAGTTTCGATTTGGGCGAAAGCGGGATTTTTGACGTTACTTTTATTGCCGTTGGCCGGAGGACCAAAAGATGGGAAGCGCTTTGATGCCGATTGAAGGCTTATTTCTTCTGCTAGCTTCCATACAAGCTCAGATAATTGTGAAAGAAGTACGCAGAAATGAAACAGCAACAATAAAGATTGTAAGAAAGAAACCATTGAGACATTGATGTGACTGAGGAGATCTTGTGGAATTAAGCTTCGTGAAGCAGAATGTTTTGCAACGACGCGTTAGTAAACTTTTAAATGAACCTCCCTACGACCGACAAAATCAAACAAACAGGCGCTACATGTTTATAAAAACTAGTGCTATGAAATCATAATTTATATACTTTTTGACTAACCTTTGCCATGATTCATAGCGTTGATCGAGATTGCATTTTTATTTATGTCTTTCAAACGTTTGAGTCTAGCACGCGAGCAAATCAGGCACATATAGGCTGAAATATTGCTGGGCTTGGAACAATTGACCTCTGAAACGAGTTTAACATCAGAAAAACTGTTCTTAAAGCAAGCGGAACGAGATTTTCGGGTCCCGAGGGGGCCCTGCTAGCGATAAAATCGCGATGAGTCTTCCTTTCGCGAGCCAAATTTTTAAATAAAACGAAAGACTTCTTCGAAAGTCCAAAATATTACTTGAGAATGTAAACAACAAATCACCGTCGGCGGTGTGGTCCGGAAGGAAATCTTGTCGAGTCAATATGACAGTTCTATTGTCTTTTGAAGAAAAAACAGATGACGCACGCGCGTGCGCATAATAGGGACACTGTCCCTTTGATGGGGGCGAAATGTCAGATCGTGTATTTGAGCCCACGTTGTTAGTGATCTGATAGTGGTCTTCACATGTTCCATTTTGACAGCTGTCAATTGACCTTAATTGGCTTGCGCATATAACTTTAGACTTCTGGTACCCGTCTGACAGCCCTGGCCGGTGAAACAGAAGTTTCATTTCATTTTCATTTTTATGTTGGTAAGTGCGACCAGGAGCCTATTATATCAGCTTATATGTGGGGGAAAACGACTGGTCTTTCATCTGAGCCCGCGAGATGGTCATGTGATTACTGTCAGCAAATGTCTGATTTTGACAGCTGTCAATTCATCCTCATACGGATGGCTTACAAAGTGATAATTTCTCCAGGATCTAATGTAACATTTGACTTCAGCTTACATGAAGCGTGTGTACGGGTGAGCGTACGCTACGTCATAACCAAATTTTCTCGGATGGATAGTTTACCAAATTTTCTTACCCATGGTACTTCACAGGCGCGCGCCTTGCGCGCGCGAGAGCTCCGCTATTTAAGCATAGAAAACATTTTCCGTGTTTGCATAGCCTGATATAAAAACAAGAGGAGTTGGGAGAATCGAGACAGTTATGCAAACCCGAGACGAAGTCGAGGGTTTGCATAACTGTCGAGAATTCTCCAACCCCTCGAGTGTTTATATCAGGCTATGCAAACACGGAAAACGTTTTCTATTGCTTTTATAAAATAACTTTCCCGAGAAAAAATCAAAACTCTTTGTTATGGCACTGATTAAAAGAGAAATTCTTACCAGTCGCAAAATCGTGCACACGAAGGCTTGCACGCGTAATCAGTTCTTGTTTTGCAAAAAGATGCTTTCCAAAATACGGTTTTATTCTCGCTTAAAATGTCAGCTTAAGCGAAAACAAAATTGACACAGCTTGCTTGCAAAGATGTTCCAAGTTTCAGCCGACGAAGGAATGGGTAAATAAAGTAAACTTGTGGAGTTTTGAACTCCAAACCTTTTTCAAATTTGTGCTTTCCGTGATTAGCGCGCGAAAAGCAAAACATCTTGATGTCACAACCATGTTTACATACTCTCATGCAAACACTCCTCTCGGCCAATCAGAGCGCGCGTACTATCTTAATCAGTTATTTTATAAAACGCAATTTATCCATTTACAATATAAGAATCATTTTATAGGACACTATACGGCGCTCTAAAAACAAAAGTCCGGGCATTGATCTACTGAAGAGGTACTATTCCCCAATAATGTACTGCCCATAATACACCTTGTTTTCCCCATAAAGGTTGCTTAACCATTGTCTCACAATTTTTTCTGGGCGATATTAAGTCGTCCCTAGGGGAAATGAAGACAATGTTTAAATGCAAGATTTTAGGGGAACAGATAGCGTGCATTGATATGTTACAGGCGTGCATAATGCGTCCCATGATATGTCTGTTAAAGAGGTTTCTTAAAATTACTGGTGCTTTATATTCTTAGCTTACAGTTATACTTGAGGTTGCAGATTCCCACACAATAAAGGTAAGATATTGCTCTTGATGACGTTTTATACATTTTGAAGATCGGCTTCAAATTTGTGTTGAATAATTTTTGCTATGTGCTCATCCGATTTTACTTGCGTGAACAGATACACGAGGCAAGTTTGAGCTACGCGAATTGCTATTAAGGATTAATTTTATGGGTTTTAAATAGATAAAAAAAAATCGAGAAATAATTTCTCTGTGTGTTGTGGGTTAACTGATTGATAACATTAGCTCAAACCACGATCCTGAGACAACAGCATCCAATTTGACTTTAATGCTTCTCACATTAATACATCGATAACTTCTGTGAATGTCGGGCGAATTTAATAGGATTTACTTTTAGGTTCAGTTTTTGAGCATTTTTCGATACGCAGATAATGAATTTTATTTGAAAGTATGTTTTTCTGGTTACTCAAAATTTGCGCTCTAAGTTTACTACACAGAGGTATCTAAAGTATTGAAAATTCGCGGTTGTTTAAATGGGTTAATAGCTGCAAACTCTGACGAATGAGAGTGAAGGAGAAGGATCAATCTTCACAGGACTATGCGTGAACAACATTCTGATGACTTTTTAAAGCCGGTCGGCAAAAGCAGATCCCGCAGATATCCACAAGGGTTAAAGAAATCCAGCTGTTTACAACATGGACAACATCTTGAATTTCAAACAGCAACGCACGCATGCGCATTCTGTTTTTGTCTAGACGTTTCCCGCCCGTTCGCCTCGGATACGTCACCGAAGTGAATTGACGGAGAGATACTGGGGAAACGCCGTACGGGGACAGGGCAAGTGTCTTCTCATTTTTACTTGTTATTGAGATTTTGCAGTGCACCTAAAGGATCGGTGATAGCACAATAATAAGATATTCACAGCCGCTATCATGAATGACAAGGACACAGTTTTCAAAACAAATTCTAAAGAAAATAAATTACGGCACAACGCGTGTAGATGTTTTGCTCATGCAGCTTTTTTTGACTGTCCCCGGCTCTGCGTCTGCGTGATTTCGGCTTGTAAGGCTCTGTTTACATCGAGGTGCGGGACCCCAGACAGGTGAGGTAACATGTGGCAGGTGACCCCACCTATCTGCAAACGTGATCAATTTAGTATGAGAGATTACATAGACAGGCGGGTTACCCCACCTAAGCTGGTTACCTCACCTTCCTGGGGTCCCCCACCTTCGTGTTAACAGGCCTTAAGACGCAAACAATTATTTGCGTCTTACTAATGCAAATTGAATCACGCAAGCGTTACAGTTTATGAAAAACTCGTAAAGCCATGATTTATAGTAATAAACCAAGGATGACCTCGGCTCCCTTTAAGTAATCGGCCCAAGGCGTAAGGTTTTTGTAAAAAAGGCAATATTATAACTTAATCGGTATCAGGAAGCTCATCATTGTTTTTTTGTTGTCGGTGTTGTTGTTCCTCTTTTTGTTTCATGTTTGTGTTGCGAGAAGGGTACTCCATCTCAGAAAACGGTCGTGACTTTTTAGGCGCCGTCACACGTATCCTTATCCTTTTTTATTTGAAAACCGAAACTTTTTCTTCGTTTTCAAAATGAAGAAAAAAATAATCAATCGCGTCCACTGGTGGATAATTTTTGCATTTCCACTAGGAAGAAAACGCAAAAGTGACAGAAAATTTTACCGCCTTTGATGGGAGCACGCGAATTTAGTCGAATCCAAATCTGCGATATGTTCGCTTGCGATAACATTGGATCCAACACCAGGGCGTAACCGTTTTCAAAAACCTCCTTTTACATCCATCCACACGAGTAAAGCAAAACGGCCGCGTTTTCAAAAATCTGCACCCTGAAGAGCATTTGTGAAGCGATCAGTGGTAAGCGTTCTCGAACTCACCGGATACGCGCGGACGGTGGGCAAACAAGGCGGGAAAAAAATCTCGTCTTCAGACAAATACAAGGACATACCAGGGAGTTGTTTAATGAGATTACTGTTAATTTTGTGTACTTCTGTGTACAAAATTGCAACTGTTTTTAATTTTGTTTGCACCTCTAGCATTCGTTTGAACAGAAGTGAAATACAAATTAGGCCATATTTGTTGTCCTCTCGGGAATCAACTGTAACAGTTCCTTTTATTGACAATATCATATGGAATCTCACCTTTTTATAAATTTTGCTTTGATGTCCAATGTGTTAAGGTTTAAATTTAAATTAGTTGTTTAACCTTTTACATTATATTGAGACCTAATCCAAACTCAATGACAGAAGAGTTCTGGTCATCGTGATCATACGGCGAGAATTTCATGCAATGTATTTGCTCTGTCAGTTACAATCGGGGTACAACACAACATTAAATTCATTAACAATGAACATAGCTTGTGGATTTGGGTAACTCTTTTCTTTCATGGGTACAAGTGTTGCCATTTTGTTCTCGTCGCATCCAAGGTACAAGGTGTTGTAACGACTGCTCTTGAAAACTGTATGACCCCAGTAAAAGTCGGGCTCAAATTTTGCCTCTTCAGATGGACTTGTCTGAAACAATAAAAAAAGTACATTAGGATAGGAAAGGGCTTTTAGAAAGGGTAGTGAAATGAATGGAGTTTGACTTGAGAGGGACATTGGGCGTACTCAATATAACCGTAATACGGTAAGAAAAGTTGGTAATGACCGAAATGTCATCTCGAAATCGACAGAAAAATCTATACCGCATTTATGATCGGTCACGCTTTATAAAATACTTAAATTGCATCCATCAGGCGTGTTTGATTATCTCAAACATGTTTGCATCAGAAATCAACCTCAGCCATTGCCAGAAAACGTGAGAAGACAAGCCATTGCTTACTTTGTTTTGTGTTGGGTATTATTGTATTGACCTGTATTTTAGGAGAGCTCAAATGAAAGGTATTGCAATACCGTGTAGGGTCTACGTTTACTGAATATACCGTCAGCCAAAGGGGTGAAAAACCGCATACTGCAGGGCTAGATGATACCAAAATCATCCTCACATTACCGCTTAAAAGAAAAGCCTCAATACCGTATATCCCGTCCGACTCGCTTAATATCTGAATTCGCGTATTTTTTCAATCTTCATTGCGATTAGGCCAACTCTCTTACAAGTCACTTAGTTTGTCAAATTTATCAGAATTCCCTGGAGGTGAATTCCTAAGAATCAATATCTAAGTTCTAAAAAAGACAAAAAATTTTGTTTTTGTGTCCTTCATAAAACGGAAAATTAGACATTTTCAAATCTTAACCGTGCAGTGACAGAAGGAACAAAGACATTTTTACTATGCACTCGGTAAAAGAGACTGAACATCTTCATTGATGTTCATTTCAAACCCACTGGCCACAGTTTTGAATTGGGATCTTTGGGATAGACTTGCCTAAATCCGGAAGAGACTGATGATTCCAAAGCTATAGTCGTCAATAAACGTTAACTTCAGAAGTAAAGCTTTATTAGCAGATCTTTTATCAGATCAGTTGAAGTCCTGCCCTATAATTAATGTGCGCGATGGACGAAGAGACGGCTGACATGTAAGATGGTTTGCTAATCGTTTCGGACCCCTATTTTAAACTAAAAAGTTTACAATCACTGCATTGGTTCCTTTTGAGAGAAGTATGTTGCTTAGCATAAGAAAATTATTGTAATAAATTATCAACATACGTTGGTTTACCAAGTTAACCGCTGCTTTTGGTTTTGTCAAGTTGTTTATAGTCACATATGGTGTCGTGTCGTCCAAGCTGGTTAAACCGTGATTATAAAGCCGATGAAGGTATATACACCGTATTCACAAATGGCGGACACGCGGGAAAAAACTGGTGCCTAGTCATGAAAGCGAGGCGTTGGAGGATAAACAAAAATTGCAAATGAAGACTTTCAGTGAACTTGCAGAGTGTTTAGCACGGATTCCACCTAAAATACGTTTGTACGGACTTCTTTTTAAATACAATTTCGTGGGATTTCTTCTGCTTTTAATGTTTAGTATTGATTTGCTGTTTGCAATCAAAAGGGACGCGTATATCTTCAAGGAAACGGGATGATTTTGTAGGTTTCCGAAGCATCAGAAGCTCGACAAGTGGGCGATGGCTGGAGAAAAGCTGCAAACATGTTGACCCAAACTTCACATTGAAACCGAGTACGAAAACCAGCTCACTGCAATTCGGTAAAACAGAAATATAAACAAATCTTGGTGGCAAGAAAAAAAGAAATTAGCGACGGATATATGGTCTACTTGTTAACGCAACAGACGTCTGCCATTGAACAAAACAGTTCAAGTCGAGATGGAAAAAAGGAAGACAGGAAAGAAGCGGTGACTGAGGTTTCGATGAAGTTATGTTTGCACATTGGTTATTGTTTGCCAGGACATTATTCTCTGGTCCTTATCGATGAACAACATCAGTTAGAACTATTTTTTTAGTACAAATGCAGGAGCGATCGAGTGCAGTACGCTCAAAATATCAACTTGTTACTCTTCAGACTCGGTAAGCCGGCCACATATCATTTCAGCGAGTAATTTTCGTATTTCTTATCTTTGGCTGTTAAGAGTTTTAACTTTATGTTCCATAATATTTTAAAAGTGAAGAATACATTAATAAATAAAATGATGGTTCTCTTAGACGGATCCAGACTCGAATTTAATAATTCGAAACAGAAGCTTGCGGTGTTCAGTCCTGACACAAACATTGCCTTAAAAGTTTAACCTAGTAAAATGTGAACTTTATACCACTTTTTTACCAAGAGCTCTTCGAGATAATGCACTAAAGGAGACCAGACAAATAGCAAGCCATAAGATTCACACACTACAGCTTCTAATTTTGATAAAATTATTTTATTTCGCAATGACAAAGAATTGAAATCAAAGATTTTTGCTAAGCTTTGTCAACGTACCTCTAACAATTCACTCCAAAGCGACGGAATATTAATATCATCCAAAGGAAGTTGTAAATACAGGCATACATATATAGATAGATATGTATAAAGTGACACTGACATGAATGAACCTCGTGAATGAATCTTTCACCCGCTCTCGACTTGACCAGTTTTGTGTAATGGCGGAGGTCTCTTCCGTTGACAGGTAGGCCATATATCCGTCGCTTATTTCTTTTTTCTTGCCACCAATATCTGCTTTTATTTCTATTTTACAGAATTGTAGTGAGCTGGCTTTCGTACTCGGTTTCAGTGTGAAGTTTGGGCCAACATGTTTGCGGCTTTTCTCCAGCCATCGCCCACTTGTCGAGCTTCTGAGGCCTCCGAAACCTACAAAATAATCCTGTTCACGAAAGATATACGCGCCCCTTTTCATTGCAAACAGCAAATCAGTACTAAACATTAAAAGCAGAAGATGTTCCACGTAATTGTATTTAAAAAGACGTCCATTCAAAGTTATTTTAGGTGTAATCCGTGCTTAACACTCTGCAAGTTCACTGAAAGTCTTCATTTGCAATTTTTGTTTATCCTCCAACGCCTCGCTTTCATGACTAGGCACCAGTTTTTTCCCGCGTGTCCGCCATTTGTGAATACGGTGTATATGTTTCTTGAAAAACGATTAAGACTTGCAACCTTCAGATTTGATGTATGAAGAGGACGACTATGAAGACGAGATATGAGTTAATTTTTTTTTGCAGTATTCTAAAAAAATCGAGACACCTGAAAGCTTCATTCTTCTTCTTCTTCTTCTTCTTTTTGTTGTTGTTGTTGTTGTTGTTGTTCTTCTTCTTCGTCTTCAGAAAAGCTAGCGCGGTTATTTCTATTAATAGAGGTTACGCCCTATAAAAATAACTTGTTTTTGCCACAACAATGCTCTCGGAAAAAGCCGTAACTAGAATGGCCGCTATTTGACGTTTTTTCCCTCCTAAACTACCGCTGGATCACGGGCGCACTACCTTATACTGTTGAGGAAATCTCATCCTTCTAGTCGTCCTCATCGCTTCTAATAATAGGCCAGGGCACTGTTCTAATACTACCAGGGAAAAGGTTTCGTTCAGGAATGACTCACCTGGACAGTGACTTGCTGACCGCCTCCAGCAGCGGTAATATATAACAATGTACCGCCAGGTTCCTCAAAAACCAAATACCAATAATTCATCGCTATGTGTTTTGCCTTTATCACAGCTGAAAAGAAAAAAAAAATGTACGCCATTTTAAAGGGGCATGTTTGTTGCTTCTTTATGTTGATTCTATTTGAAGAAATATAATACATTAGGGTAGAGGGAAAAGGAATACACACGAACCAGGTAGTCTGCTAATGAACTCAGAGACACCTTGTTCTGGTAGTGGACTATCTGGCATGTATTTGTCTACTTATTATTCGCTTGATATAATATCAATTTTTAACAGCCCCTAAATCCAATATTTTCCAGTTCAGTTTTAAAAATTATAATCACCGCCCTCGACCCTCCCCCCCCCCCCCCCCCCCCCCCCCCCCCCCACCCCTCAAATTGGCATTTCACAACCCTTCCATAACACATATCACTTCATATTTTTTTTTTTATAATATATTAAGTATTATGTAATCTCCTGTAATTCTATACTATAACGTGCAAACACATCTTGACAGGCACCGAACCACAACCACTCGTCTNGACCATAACGTCTAAAAAACCATTGATACCCTTTGGTAACGCACATACCTGAAAAGCCTATATAAGGGAGTAACCCGAGGAGGCTTTTATATAATCAGACTGTCTTCTCCGCCACAGTCACTCCCTTCAAGTTGTATGCTCATTTGAAATGCAAATCAAACTTACTGTTATCACTGTTGAAACCACCCATGCAAGTTACAACTGCTGGGTCAGCGGGAGACCTCTGAATCAAGCCGTTGCTTACGATATTCCACAGGCGGTATGGGCTGTTTTCAGAAGTCTGAAGGCTGTGAAGTTTGTATGAAGTACCAAGGAATGGTATAATGATGCCAGAAAGAGGGAAACCAGTTCTCTTTAAGGTGATCTTTACAAAAACTGGATGGCTATGTGGACGGCGGAAAAAAAACAACATAACATCAACTTTTTTAGAAAGTACTAATCTTTTGTAGCTGGCTTTGGTTAGATCATTTGAAACATTACAACAGCTGAATTTCTTTAAGTATTTTATTTTGCTTGTAAAGCATTTGTACCTTATTTTACCCTTTTTCGTAATTAATTGTGCTCTATTGTCTTAGCTAATTAATCTTCCTTTCTCTTGTAACACTTTTTTTTGTTTACATTTAACTTTACGAATCTACTGAACTATTTCATTTATTCAATTAGTATACTTATTTCAGTTTTTTTTTTATTATTATTTTTTACACATCCCGCCCCGAATAGGGGTTGCTGCTTGCGGGTTGTATTTTCGTTATTATCATTATTATTTTTTGTAACCAAGATTTTGAAATAAATAAAGCTGTTGTTGTTGCTGTGGTTGTTGTTGAAAAGCTGTACCATGTGCTCAGATACCTTAAATTTGCTTATTAGGTTTTAATTGGGAGGCTTTGATAAGCTGGGGTATGAGGCTAAATTAATATGGTTTATTTCACAGTACCTTAGTATCTTCTTGCTTAGAGACAATCAAAGCCTTTATTCGAGAATTCTCTTACAGTTCTGTGTTATTCGCAAGGTCTAGATAATCATCAAACCTTTTGTCATAACTTTGGAACGTCACATTTGTTGGTGCAACTTCATCAGACAGGACGTCAGAGAACACACGTAGAAAATGATGACGCAAGTGTTTTACTTCCTCGCCATCCTGGAACTGCACAATGCGCTTTGAGCTACCGAAAGTGACATGCAGATTTTTCGCCACCGTAGTCACGAATCGCCTTTGCATCGTATTGATAGCCCGAAGAGCTGTAACGAAAATTAAATGACGCTACATTACATTAGGTATGTTATTAAATTTAGTGTTAACGCCGGCTACGGCAATATTTTAAAGTAACAACTAAAACAGTGGGCCACGTTCAAACGGCACCAGAAGAATATTCACACGACACCGTTTAATATTTTCAGAGGTTTTGCCATCTGCCCATACGCAGAGCGCTACTTTAGCAAATCATGCAAGATGGCGTCTCCCAGCGGAGCTACCACGCATCCTTGTAACCTCACCTGTGCCGTGCAAAAAACGGTTATGTGTTTACATCGCACCGTTCAAATTTTTAACCAAACGAACTAAAAATATGACCTTGATTTTAGCGTTTAAATTTTTGACCGACAAGGCATCTAGATTTCGGCACAAATTATTTGTCAACTTGTCGTGTATTGAAAACCCCTAGAATTTCGGTAATTTTCCAACTTGGTTGGATCCCCCTCGCCCCCCTGGAAAGAATATTTTCCTCAAATCGACTCAAAAATGTCTTTGCACTGTACTTTTATGCAAAAGATAATTCTTTCTGCGACATACATCGAGAGAAATCTTTTTCTTTATGTTAATGCAGGGTCAAAATAATCTCTATTTTGCCTGGTAAAGGTCTGTGTGAGTTAATAATTAACGGTAAGTCATTTAGGTCAATGGACAGGAGCACTCAATGGATCTGTTCCTCAAGAGATCTGTTCTTCAGGCAAATTTTTGCTGGGTGGGAGATGTGGAAGAAATGATATGTCCGTGGGAGGAAACTGTTTCTGGAAAAAGATAATTTAGGGTGTCTGAGGTTATCCAATGTCTAGAATAATTGCTATGTGGTATTTGGCAGAAACCTCTTTCCCGTCCAGCCCCCTCCCCACCACTAAACGGGTGAATTTTGTCTTCAGGCCACACCCATTTTCCTACCGAACCCCTCCTGCCCTACCCCCACTGAAGGTCTGAATTTTGCCATATGACCACACCCAAACTGGCCAGTAATATCTGGACATACGTCTGCTGAGAAACTTCCCAGTAACTATCGTGCAAGCCGTAAAAAAAAAACCACTCAGCCAACCGCAAATAAAAGATCATCGATGAAAACAATAATTTTTTGCTTTGAAACACCGATCGACAGAAAAATAACTGATAGCTTGTTCAACAGAACAGCTGTTAGCTTTTAATAACTACCAATCTTACTCGGAGTCTCCGCCGGAAAAAAAACCTCGAAAGGCTACCCGCCACCCTCCCCGGAAATTGCCTCATTTTGGACCCCCTTCCCCTCTGAATTTCCGTTACCCTCCGAGGGGGGAGGGGGTATGGATATTTTCTGGAATTATACATTTGCCATTCGTTCTGGCTAAAGCAGGCTATGGTAAAAAACTAACTGCATTTAAAAGTTAATGGTACATAGATTAGTTCTGAATATGATTCGCCCAAATTTATACACAAAAGTAGAACCTATGACAGGCTCTTGAATTCGAGCTAATTCCCAGTCTTCTAAATCAGGTCATTTAAAGCTTAATTGGACGAATTTGCAAGACTTGATGCTTTTCCTGATCCTTCTTCTGATTGTCAAAAATGAAAAAAAAAAAAAGAAGGCCAGTAACATCATCAAACTGAAAAATCAGGATTTTTGAATATGTATGATGAACATTACCGCTGCCCAAATCGAGTTATCGGAGTTAAGCTCGACGTTTCTCAATCTCGGACGCTCAATGTAAAGCTTTGACTAATACTGAATTGGACAACGAAAGGAATGATTCTGTTTGTTCGATCCCGAATCAGAAAGGTAGTGAATGCTAGAATGATACAACAACAACAGCCGAATATGCCCCAGTGAAATTCGATTGGATTGTAAAAGGCCCCGTCTCTAACGTTTTTCAATTTCAATGATCACCCTGTCTACGCATGCGTGAAACCTTTTTATTAAAGGGCTCGTTTCACGGTTGTCTAATACAGTTTCGGCTTACCAGTTAGTCTGCAGTTATAAGTCATTGTTCTCAATGAAACTTTAGAAATTACATCAATCAATCGCTACAAGCAACAGAAATGAACTTTGAAAAACTGATAGGTGAACAAGTTTTCAAAATCCACAATTACAATCGATTTTAATCTTCTTCAATTTTATACGATCCCTGCTTCCGTTTGTACAGTTATATTTCGCTCTGTCATTTATACCTTTTCTATCTTTTTGAGCAGTTATTATAATGACACTCAATTTGATGACGGTTCACACTGTTTGAAATTTGATAAATTTCGTGGCACAACTAATCAATAACTACACAGCTACTTACGTAGAGAAACAATGAACTGCATCAGCGGTATGTAACCCTTAGTCGACTATTGAGCAACTCGATCCGGTTGAGGAATTAAAACACACTGAACACAACTGCGAGTGAAAGGTCTTTTTGTACACAATTAGTCCCGGAACACCATGATAATTAATCATAACTGTCGTCGTGACGTGTCTGACACAAAACAGTTAAGGTGTTCATGAGGGTTGAACAGTGAATCACTTAGACATAATTAGTTCCTCTTTCTAAGAAAGCTTTAAACCGCAAAATCAATACGAATGCAAACATCGTATTGAAAATATATCCTGTTTTTCACTAAGAGCTATGCTGTTTCAGGTTATCATCAGGCAATAGTTTGAGACCTAAATTGCATTATTACCCGCAAATTGTACGAGGCAATTCTCTATTTTAGTATTTTGTTTTTCAAAGGTAGGTCTCTCAGTTGAAAATGAAAACGTAATGCCTGGTTTAATGAAACATGATGAACTGAAATCTTTTTTTTTTTTTTTTTGTGAACGTTTGCTGTTCCGGG